TATTATTGTCCCCTGACAAACAAAAGTTTGAAGGCTGCCTTACTGCTGCACTGAATGACCTCCGGTGAATTCGAGTAAATCGCTTACATGTTGCTGAGGACCAGTCTATCGGCGTTGAATCAGTTGTTACAAGGAACGTCATCTTCAAGGTATTTATATCAGTATACATTGACCTAGAACATTCACAATAGTTAGATTGGTGGTCGGTGCAGCGTAATGTAACTTTTACAAGCATGGTCAACATAAATACGTCACGCTTGATAGCTAGAACATCATATTGGAATGTGTTGAGCTATTAATCGACCACTTGTTTAGACAGTTCACCGGTCGTCACAAGTCCTCTCGAAGTTTAGGTTGTACTCTATGAAGGGGTTGGCTGTATCCTCGGGACGAAGTGTGCACGGAGAATTCTGGTCCTGAAAAAGCAAAATGAAAGTGAAATTTCATACAAAGCATGTAAATAACATTCTACTCTACTCAAAATAATATAATAAATTTATACATGGATGTCAACGTTATGCAATGTAAACTTGTATCAGGGGGCGTAGCTAGCCCTTATTTGGAGTGGATTCATTAAGAAGCGGGTCCAGGGCAAGGCCTTGGTAGGGAGACAAGGGGATGCAACAAGCAGTGTAACTGTTTTGTTTTGTTTTTCTGTTTGAAAATTTGATGGATTCTCCTACATATAGGCAGCTACGAGCCTGGGTATTGAGTATATAAGGCTAACTATGGCAAGCAGCTGTGAGCCAACATCTTATATTAGGAATGTTTATGGGGAAATTAATCCACCTCAAACAGAATATCCTTTCATGACAGGCAAACGGAAATGTAATCATCTTTTAACTTTCCAGCTTGAAACATTTACAGTAAAAAGAGGTACAGTCAGACCTCTGTTTACCCATTCACCCTTAAAGTCACATTTGAACCTTTCCAAATCACAGACTGGACAAGTCCAGTTCAGATATGTAGTGGTGAATGAGTTAAGCGACCATCGTCTCGAAGTCCTGAAAGTGGTCTTGAACCTTAATTAATGCAACTGGTCTCTTAGTACAGGTTCAGTCCACAAACATCATTAAAATATTGAACATTACAAATAGTTGCTTAATGCAGGTGGTCTTTTAATGGAGGTGGTTGCATGAACAGGTTTGCTTGCACAAGGTTCTTAATTAATAGTGACATTACCCTGGATGTGACCCTGAAGCGGAAGGCGCTGTAAAAGTAGCTCCCAATAGGCATCTTCCACTGTAAGGTAAAACATACAGCTGGTTATAATAGTGTATTAACATGCTTTATTTATCCAGTAATAAGCCCATGCCTGGTAATAAGCCCACCCATATATGTTGCAGTTCAATAGAAAAACCAACAAATGTTATTTCCTTGTCGTTGTAATAGGCCCACTTGTATCTAATACAATTCAATAGAAATGCCAACAAATGGTAAGTTGTTGTCCCTGTAATAAGCCCACCCCTCCTAATTCTTATGCTTCTAGGCATGTAGTGACAAAACCCCGTAAAAAAACACTAATCTTACTGAATGAGCTTTAAACTAACATTAAAATTTCTGTATTTGTGTTGAAAGAGCTATAATCTAACAAAAAAGTTTATGTGTATTACCGACATACCTCATATTCCGACTCGTGCTGTATTTCCATCTGACCAGGATTCACAAGGCAGCTTGTTTCAGAAACATTTAAACACATGGAAACGGTCATATCTGTTTCAAGGCTACAATGAAACATAATATATAAATTATCAAATTTATTCAGTGAAACCTTTAATTTTACTTATAGCTCCTTTACTACAACAAAAATTCACAAAATAGAACCTTCTAAGCAGAATTATATTATTCTTGAAGCAATCATCAGAATACCTACCATTATAATATAATTCGGAATACATTGGTGTTGTTTTGAAAAGATTCAGATTAATTTCAGCCATCTGTCACTTCTATCAAAGTTTGATTTGATATCACAACCTGAACCAGAATTTAAACGTAATCCAATTTGTTAGACGTTTAAATCTAGTGGCAAGGTTACCCTTGGAAATGTAAACATAGCAACAATGTAATTGACAACATGTGTCAATTATCTGTCCTACTGCAGGCAAAACACAAGAAAATTCCACTGCATTTTTTGTACATAAAATAACCTCCCAAATTTCATCTAGCGTCATTTTACATAACACAGGTGGTATTTTTTTTGTCGATTTTTTCATCATATTTTGTTTTGGTACAACAACATATGACAGCATACTGGGCTGATCCCCAGATAAGTACGACAAAAAAACTTACTTGAACTTAATGGTAACCGGTTCAAATCCAAAGTATTGGCTCAACCTCAGTATGTAGGTCTTGTTAGTATTCGTACAGTTACTGCAAAACTTGGAGTCAAACTCAAAGTTCAGCTCTTTAAGAAAAACTGTTGCCTTCAGCTGGTCTGTAAAAAACACGACAAAAGCTCAACACTTATTTGAAGAATTTAAACATATTAACAAAATACTATAGTTAAAAGCCAAAAACTGCAATAGCCTAAGCATTCTAAATTCAGAGAATATCCTTCAGATAAATCAATAAAATTTAAATACTTTTTTTTATACTTCTGGAAGATGTTATTTCTATGTTGTCATGATCTTATAATTTCAATGATACTGTCTAAAGTGAAACCTGTTTAGAGTGAAATGTGTCCATAGTGAACCCGACTACAGTGAAACCTGTATATAATGAAATGTGTCTAGTGAAACCTGTATATAGGGAAAAGTGTCTGGTGAAAC